TCCCCAGACAAAACAAAGAAGAAAGTTGGAGCCAGAGTCAAAGAGAAGGGTGAAGACAAATCTGAAGCTAAGATTCTAGAAATGTGACAAAAATGTTCAAGCAGCGTTCTGGAGTCTAACATCCAAGTCTGCGCTGTTGAAATTCAAACCTTTCTTCATGACTTGCACATTCAAATCAATGTCTCAAAACCTGGACTTATCGTAATGCAGAAATCCAAGTTAAAATTCTGTTCATGGGGGGGGTGGGCTGAGAATTCACCCTTGATGAATGATGTAATCTCCATCCAAACCAATGTCGGGTGGCACTTCAACTTCTGTTTATTGATACGTGGCCACAGCTCATTGGCAAAGACTTTGTAGGTGACCTCACTCCGTGGAGCAAACTTAGACCTCTCCACTATTTGACCTCTGTGGTTTCTATGCCGTCGACCTGCAGGTGTACAAGCTATGGAACATAGAGGAGAAAAAAAAATGTACTAGGAATCAGGAGTAAAGTCTGCGAAGTTGTCAGACACAACCCTCAAAGATGCTCCTCACTTCACCAGATTTTAGAGGAATTTGGGGGATTGAATTTTATTTAGTAAGGTGAAGCCCACTACTATATGATTCTCCTTAACAGTTACAATTCAAGAAACAAGTCACCAGTTTTCTGTTCAATGTTGATCTTTGGAGGATTCCAAATGAGTAAGGGAGTTGAAATTAATAGGGTTAGTAAAAATGACACTGACATTGTTCCTGGTGCCTTCAACTGTTTGAGTTTCCCAACTAAAAAATATTTGGGCCAAAACCAAGATGGCAGCTAATATAATTGCTTACATTTTATTGCAAAGTTTGAAGGGAGATGCTTCCATTTTTGCCACAAATTCTTTCATTCACTTCCTCATATCAAAATGGCTAAAGCACACACCCCAATACAACTTATGTTCTCTACTCAATGAAAAAAAATCGGTTTTTAAATTCTTTTCTCTTTTCAAAGCTGGGCAGACAGAACATCTGACAGCAAACACAAGGTACTGACAATTTCTTTGCTATCTTTTGGCCTTAGACCTGATTTTTGTATTTAAACCAGTTTCACCTGGTTCAATCAGGATATTTGCAGCTTCCCTCCATATAGAGAAATACAAAACCAGCACGCCACCAGTATGCAAATTGCTCTGCCCATCTCATTAAGAAATTGGTGAATTCTGACACGGTTCCAACCAACCATCATTTGATCCCTCACTTGGTGAGCCGTCTGCCCCTTGTGGGAAGTAAGGATTTGGCAGTGAAGCATCGAGAAGCAGGAGGAACTGGCGCGAGGTCAGGAACAAAGGGAACTGTGCCTGGTGAGCATCCTGAAGGCGGGGAGGGATGGACCTGTTCAGCTGGGCCACAGGCTCAGCGGCAAACGGGCAGCCACGGGCCATGTTGCAGAAGCTTCGCTGCACTGCATCGCGCAACTTCTGGTTCTTGGTGATGAAGATCTGGTGGAGGTGATCAATGTATGAGGAGTTGGAGGAACCTAGTGGAGAGGCAAGCTCACTGGATGCAAATGCTTCTACACGTATACAAAACAAAGGAAAGAACTCAATTCCACAAAAATCTCTATCATTTGTGGAAGTAAGAAATGAACCTGCAAGTACCATAATTCACGAGCGATCTATTCTTTCTTTCAAAGACTATTTCAGATGTGGTTACCTTTGACTCCTTCTGCTTCATCTAGATGCATGAATGCACAATCCCTGGGAATCCATGGTTCCTTAATTTCAGACGCTTTCTGCCAGTATTTGACAAATTTTGTCCACATACGATAGAGACAGCATGTCGTTTTACCTATATCACAAACAAATTAAGTGTCATAACTTGAAGTAACCAGGATGCAAACCTTATGTTTTGTTTCAGGTTTTTTAATACAGGAATATCAAATAAGGTAGACACTTCTGCTTGGGAATGGATACATTCCAAAATAAATCAGACCAGTCCTACAGAACGGAATGCTCCTTTGCTAGCATCCAGTCTTCCTATTGTCTAGATAAGTAGTTCAGATTTATCGAATGTTCGGACTAGCCAAGCAGGACGACCAGTGTTGAAGTTAATTCTCAGTGTACGAAATTCTGTTCTGATATTGAAAGCCATAGATTGTCAATGATCTTACGACAGCCCTTTTTGTATTTCCCTTGTTTTTCTTCTCTATATCAGTCAGAGAGCTGTTTCTGTTTACCTGTTCCACTTCGTCCCAGCAGCAAGATGGAGGACGTTGGCCTGGGCTGTAGGTTGATAATGGCGTGCTCCAGCTCGGTTACTTGGAAAGGAAACTCCACCTCAACATGACTGTCGTTTAGCACAGCACTGACCAGCATGGATGTGAAGGAATAGAACTTCATGATTTGGTGCTCATCCTTATTTGGCAATGCAGGAGGATACCACTGCAGAGAAGTCTTGTCACCATCCCTATCCTGAGAGGAGGGAACCTCCCTGAAGCAAGTAGGGAGGCGCAGGTTGGTGTCTCTGACACCCCCTGGAATTCAAGTCAGAACGAGAAGAAATATTCATCTGACACCGGGAACGCTTTGAGTGGTACATGAGGAACACTCCCCCATATGCAAATAAGATGCTCAACAAAAACAATTCTGCTTGAATGAACAGTTTCACATTTACTGTTTTCATTGAAGGTGATAAATACATGAGTTTCTGACCTGCTGTCTTTCTTTTGCCCACTCCAATCAGAGTTTTGTGGATTTTACATTCCCTGCCACGCTTCACTGCCTGCACGATGTTGTCCATGGCATGAGTGACCTTTGAGTGGTCGAGTACTATCTCCCATACGCGAATAACCTCCGAGTAGTAAGCTCCATTGAGTTCTGCATCTGTAGATTGAGGAAGCATCTCAAAATGAATTCTAGGCCCAGAGCAAAAACTTTTTCTGTTGGGAATGGACTCTGGTAGTAGTGGCCTATATCCTGTCGACACTTGCGATGGTGTGGCTGGTGTCCAGCTGTACAGCGACTCTCTTACCCACTGATACACGTAGAGGTAGACCGACCTTGATGACCGATAGCAGAGTGCCATTGTACCCGGTCCCATGCAACTCCCTCTCATCAAGAGTTAACTTGGATTTGGAAAGTTTGTAAGTCACACTTGAGGATGTCCTGATGGCAAAGTCTTGGACGACCAGGGGGGCATGAAGCAGGGTGGCTCCCCTGGCGATGGACAACTATTCTGATGTAATACATGTGTGTGGGAACAATGCATAAAACGGTGTATGACCAACAGATCAGCACTGACATGCCATCTATTGCAGTGCACCACAAGAAGGCATCCCTCTACACAAGTACCTGGCAGTCTGTACACTTTTCATGAAGAACAATTATTAGCAACAAGTAAATAAAGACAAAATGTCAAGTTGAAAAGTTTTCCAGACTGTTTTAACGATTCATCCTTCTAATTTCTGTAATGTTTTGTATAAATTTGTGGTTTGGGACCATTGGAGACTTCAAGCAGTACAATACCATTGTCCATACAGTTTTAATGTCACACGAAAAAAATGAGTTGTCTTATCAAAAATGTAAGCCCTAGCCATGTGCAGGTACAAGCATCTGTGTGTACAGCTGCGGCATATGTTGCGACATTTGGATCACTCAAAATGTTGGTAAGAACTTTTCATCAAAATAACTCGTAAATTCACAGCACATGCCAAATACAGTTTTTTTTGTACCACTGCCGTATTCATTTCAGGCAATACAACTGGTGAAAGCAAAAGCAATGCTGTGGTAAGATCTTGTAGAGACTGACCTGACACAAGCAGCTTCTCATACTGAGAGCTGTTGGTGATCCGACGAGAGAACACGACGGCCAATTCCCACAATATCCGGCTCGCTTTGGTCAACTTGGCCTCGTACAGCTTGATGTCACATTGCTTGGGTATGCCCTCCAAGGGCTTGCATAGATTACTGCGCCAGTCACCACTGGCTAAGGTCTGAATCTTCCGGATGGCAATCTCCTTCAAGTTGTGAGGAACTTGCTTATTTGCAAGGAGGAACTTCCAAACCTTGGACAAAAGTAATGAGGCTAGTTTTTAGTCAGGATTTTGTTGGTTCTTTTGTAGGTCTCTCAAATGTCACACATTCCTACAGACTGCCACGTGCATCTACATTTGAGACGTCAAATTTCTGTGACGCACATAAGCTCCACCATGTTTTGAATATATTTGGCTCAAAACGCCCGTATGTACAGAACATTTGCGCACTGCGCACACACCCACCTGATAACACTGGATAGGCAGTTGTAATTTTTTTTTAAAAGATAGCATGCTATGAAAGATATCAATTGTTGGCATTGTTTCCTGGAAGTTTGTATGTACTGTTCATATCCCATGCAAATGATTCTTATGATCTGGTAAAGAATGCATGCTGATGGAAGCAGCCCTTTTTTCTATTTCATATGAAAGATTTCTACCAATGACCTGTTTGAGTTCCATGAGTACATATTACAAAAGGTGGCATGGAAGCACGTAGGCTTTTTCTAATCATGTCATGTAAGAGCCTATGCGTTGGTCGTAGGTAGGAATATAACTGTTCACGGTGAAAAACGTATGCCTGAATGTACGAATATTTTTGTAAAAGGATCCTGACTTCAAACTTGAGTGCAATGTTACGTATAATTCTCGCCAGCATGTGTCAGGCCGTGTGCCAACTGCCAAAACTCTCATATGTGTATGAACAAGAGAAGTACTTTGTTACCTAGCGCAGGTGTCCTTCATAGAGCAGTAATATCACATTCCTGAACTGGTTTGTAAAAGTACAAGAATGGCTGACTGGCTTTCATTGGAATGTGCACGAAATTCAGCACCAAAAGGTAATGATTTACGTTCATAGCACATGAACCCCAATCTCTCTCTCTCTCTCTCTAGTAGCTATGGTTGGGGAACTTGAGCATGGAATACATATAACCATTTGTAAGGGGTGAACCAGGTGTGCCTCCCCCCAACTGCCTGCACACCAAAGAATTTACAATCACTTCCATTGCATTTACATGCTAAATAAGGGCATTGCATTGCACGCTCACCTTTGACCCTCCAAGTTAAATTTGTGCCCCCCCTTCTGAAAATCCTGGATCTGCCTTGGGTAATGTTAGATTCTGAGGGCCACAGCACAAGTTAAAAATCAGAGACATGAGACAATGCTAGACACACCTGTTCTGTACATTCGACCTCCCATGCCAGATCATCAAAGACACCAGTATCAATTGCACTCCTCCCACATTTTTTACTTCGGTCCTCCTCTTTTGGGGTATTTGCATCTACCATTCAGAAAGAAGGGATGAAGAGAAACTCTGAGTCTGTCATCATCTAATCACAGCAGAGCTGCATTTAAATCTCCACCTAAGAACAATTACAAAGTCAATCAATACTCAGCTGCAAGTCAATATTTCTCAAGTCATGAGTAATTCAAAAGAATAGTGGCATTGTTCGCCTCATTTCTTAAGACCTCACTTGCGACTTGCCTCGATATCAGACTTACAACTGACTCAATGTCAAATCTATAGCTCAAAGTACTGTTTGAAGAATGGCACAACTTTGGCATGAGTGACAAGATTTTTTTGTAAATAAAGGCAACTTAGTCTTTAGTTTTCGGCCACATTGTTTGTTTTGAACATTCACCTTTCCACTCACCGTCAAGTGGCTGTTGCATCCTCCTCCCTTCCTCCCTCACCCTCTGCTGTTTTGATTTCGCTACCTCCTCCCCCTGCTGCTTCTGATCTGCCACTTGCTTTCTCATTTATTTGTCTCCTGCTTTCTCTCTTCTTGAGCTTTCATTTATTCTGACTTCAATAAGTCTCTTCAGTGCTGTTCATTCAATCTATTGCACTCATCATCAGCACCAATTCTCTTTATATGAAAGGAAAACATTTAATAACACAAATATGCACCCCTGGATACATAAATTTTACATTTCTAACAACTTTTAAAACCTTTATGGAAATAAATAAAAGCCTGAATTATTTGTTGACAATGTCTGTAAATAACGCAAGTATTTTGCTCTTTTTCACAAAGAAGAGGTCAAGCAAAAATTCAGTACCTTTACTTATGAGAAGAAATGAGAAAAGTTTTTCATCTTGCATTTTCCTCAATGGCCAATCATTAAATATTACTGAGAAAAAAGATGATTTTCCTAAAAATGACTGGGTTCTTCACACGGAGAGCAAAGCATGGGATAGAGTAGGTCTATGAGAATCACGGAGTACCCTAAGTTTGCACATACAAATATTTGCACACCTAAGTTTACTTGCGTGTATCTCGCTTAACGAAAAAACACACAAAAATGCACTGATGTTAATTTATCATTAACGACTGTTTGTCAAGTTAGCTTTTTTCCCTTTGCTGTTATGCGCAACTGAAAAGCTTTTCCACTGAGTATTTGGGGAAAACTGTTAACAGAGAGTTGAATTTTACTGTAAAGGTTAAATACAATTGATAAACTGGTTGGATAAAAAACTAATAAATGATAACTGTGGGCTCACAATCCTTGTTGAATGTCAAACTCTGAATGACAATTTCAATTGACTTTTACAAACTATTGGAAGCGTTATCAAAATATGGCATCTACAAAAACTGCACCTTATACATTAACCCTAACCCTCCTCAGTCAATCCTCCAACAGGTGAAGGATTGAGGAGAGTTAGGGTTAAGATTTCTCTTGTACCCCAGTCAATTGAACTTCTAACGAAGCCTGTCATTACTTTTGGGTAATTTATTTGAAAAAAATAAACAAATTAAATTTAATAGGCACAATGGGGGAAAGTAAAACTATGGCAAATAAATGATTATTTCCCCTCAAACATCATCACAAAAGACCAAATAATTAACACATGAAGTTGTTCCCAATTCAAGAGGAAATGCCATTTATAGTATGTGCACGAAGTGTTCCATCACGATGTACGTTTACAATCAATCTGACTCATCTGCAAATGACGGTGTTCCTGCAGCTGCAGTGATGTGTGGTGTTCTTCAAAATACTATTCCATGAATGATTTTAGTCAACTTTGTGTTTCAACTTTAAAAGTTCAGTCATAACAAAAAAGTTCAGTCAGTTTAAATTTACAAAACAAAATTTCAATAACTGGTAAGACAGAGTTCAATTAATGGACATCACTCATTTTCCCCTTAAGTGGCAGAAAGTGATAACACATCCTAAAATGTCAAATTTGAAATGTACTTAGAAAATAAGCTTAAGGACCAAATGTTACTAAGCATTTTTCAGACGAGCACAGGGTGTGAAGTGATGTCCATATAGGCCTAGGTCTACTCTTTCCAATCCTAAAATTGCTCAGTTGCTGGGGTTTCTTAAACTAAGAAACTAAGTCTTTTCATATATCATGTGTTGAATACTCACTGATCCCCAATGGATAAAATCCGGTCCTGCCCCAAAATTAACCACCACTTATCAGAGTTGTAGACTCAAGTGGCTCTACAACTGCACCTGTTAAGGTGATACCCAACCCTGTTTACTTATTTACAGCTAGATAAAATAATGCAAAACTTAATTGACTTGTACTTGGGCAAAAAGACTTGTACAATTGACTTGTGACTTGACTTTATCTGTGATCAAATACCTTGTGACTTGACTTGCGACTGGTCTAAATCAAAGTTTGTGACTTGGCTAAGACTTGCAAAAGTTGACTTGTGACTTGACTTGGACTTGCAAAAATTGACTTGCTAGTACCACCTCTGCCACTCAACATGGAGGAAGGAACACCCAACCCGTTCTTCAGCTCTGTGCCCAGGCAGGAAATTTCTGATTGCATCATGCTTGGGCTTTGCGCGTAATCGCTCCGTAACTGTCCTGTGGTAACTTTTCCTAGTGACTGATATAACGCTCCTTGAAGGACAAGGTTGTGATGTACTTCTTGTCGAAATATTGAAGGAAGCAGCTATCAAGTGTAGCGCAAAATTTCTACTACAAACACTAAACAGTATAGTACGTTTCAAAACTGTTAGCTCATGTAAATTTCTTACCTCCGGCTCCATGACTATGCAGCTACAGGGGAAACCCCTTCCCTTCCGATCCATCAATGCGTGCTTAATCCGAATCTGTTGTCTGGAGCTAGGACTACGTCTTCCCTCCGTTGAGAGGCCAGACAATGGATGTAGCCATAGCCCTGGAAGCCTTTTTCGGAGAGTGGTCACGTGAGGTGAAATCGAACGGCCCCAGTCTACGTGTGGGTGCACTGGTGAATAATCAAACGTGAGTTGGATATGTTTAACATTGGGAAGTGCGGATACCAGACTTCGTCATTCCGCGGGAAAGTTAAAGAAGAAAGACGATTGCTTCAAATTTCGGACATTGAACACTGACAACAATTCATCATGTTCATCACCGACATTCGGAAGGATTTTTACGAGAAAGTGCTTCACAAGGTATATCACACTGAGATCTGAACTTGCCAAAATTGTACGGATGCCTAACGTTAATTTGAACTTGGTAAAATGACCGAGATGTTTGTCACTAATGATGTCAGAATGTCACTAAATGTCGTGACAGCTTATTACCCCCATCGGCCCAGAAGTGGCTGGGGTTCGACGTCCGCCCCGCTCCTACATGGGAGCGGGGCGGACGTGTGATTGTGGGGTAGGCCTAGCCCACGTTGGACGTTGTCTTCATTTACACTGTACACTACGACTGACAGACGACGTCCACTTGCATGACTTCGGAATTCGTGAAGGGATCTCATCATGGTTTCACTTTAATTACATGTACATGACTTAGGCCTAGGACCTAGGTTTAATCATGTCAAATCCACTTTCATTTTGCCCACAACCTGAATGGGCGACCAAAGTTTGTAGAAATTGGCACGTTTGGTTGGTTTCAGATGTTAGGCCTACCTCCAATTCGTTCCAAATGGACAGTTGTCTCATTATCTCTATCATGATATCAGGGTTGTCATGGTTCTATGTAGCCCGGGATTGTAAGCCCAAACTTGCCAAAGTGCTCTGAGTGATAGCTGCTTCAAGTACTTGGGATTCTCTACACTTTTTGAATTGGAGTAATCAGGTAGGGCCTAATAACAGAATAGGCCCAACTCCACCACTCTAAAAAATGACCCCTGGAATAAGTGGTACAAATGTTATGTGGGTAGGCCTAGAGGGTGAAAATCCCTTGAGAAGAGTGTGACACTTTGACTTGATTGTAGGTCAACTCGCCCCCTGGCCGACTCGCCCCTTACCAACTTGCCCCCTAGCCAACTCGCCCCCTTACCGACTTGCCCCCTGACTGATTCGCCTCCTGACTGACTCACCCCCTAAGTTTGCCAAGCACGTAGGGCC